TGTTATTTCCTCTTCTGAATTACTGGTACCAACAATAGACAATCTGACAGAGCAGAATTAGCTGTTTATAAAAAGATGAGAGATTAGATGGGAGCAAAAGAAGTAGTTTAAGACAATTATAAATGGAGTAATAGATCTGGATGATACTTAATGTTAGAATATATTAGATATGATTAGATATGATTAGATTACTTCCTATCTGTAATTATTCTGATTGTATTAGGTCTGGGTCTTTCACTTAAGCCCATTAGGGTCTCTATATATTGTAACTCTCTGAATTAGATCAATACACAACATTATTATTTCATATTCAAGTTGGTATCATAGCTCTTTTGTTCTGGGGACCCCCGCTTCCGTCTAAAACTTCGTTCTCGCTTTAAAACCTAAGCCCACTGCTTAGGAATCATCTTTTCTTTGCCGTGCGTCCTTCCGGCAAAGCCATACAGGGTTGTAAGCTCCTTTAGAATAATTTCCGAATGCATGAGCACCTCCGACAGCCACCGGAACCGCCGTCCAGCACTGTTTAGGCCGTCGGAGAACTATTCCGGCGAGTTTTTAGCCCAGACTACCTGCGATCAAGACCGTCTCATCCCGGCGACCAGTTCTGTGGTGGTCCGACCACCGTCGCGTCAGCCACGCGCCTCCACACGCCGTCCTTCTCCTCTGCGCGTGGTGCTCACGCACCACCTTCAAACGGCGCGTGTGCACTGTTCCGGTGGAGTTTTTCGGCCGTTCTTGGAAAGAACTTCTCGCCTTCTTCTCCTCTTTTCGGATCTGTGCTTGGTTCTTCATGGGTCTCACTTTATACGCGTGGTTCTCCTTGACTGGATATCGTTTGACTTTGTTTACGACTTTTATATTCTGTCTTTAAATGGCAGCAGCGTCCCCTGATCTCTTGGAGGTTAACTCTCCTTGTCCTCCTGTCAAAACTTCCTCAGGAATCATCTCTACTAATATTGGGCCCATTACATCTTCCAAACTGAAGGATTCTAATAACTACAAGAATTGGGCTACCTCTCTTGCTGCAAATATAGCTCAGTCAGACAATGCATCATTTGGTTCAGTTTCTCTCTCACTTGCGGACTATGCTGCACTCCAAACTCTTCTCAAGAAGGCTTCTCCTCAGTCTCAGCCCTCCGCTCCATATACTGATAATCCCGTTGTTTGTGTTTCTCAATCTACATCTCTTGGCACTTGGATATTTGACTAAGGTGCTACCGATCATCTCTGTGGTAATAAGGAACTCTTTACATCTCTTACTTATTCTGATCATTTACCTTCATGCTGATGGAACCAAAGCCCTAGTTCGTGGGATTGGACAAGCTCGTCCGACCTCTACCTTGGCCTTGACATCTGTTTATTACATTCCTGACATCCCTTATAACTTAATTTCTATTAGTAAATTGATCCAATCCCTCACTTGCACCATTATTTTTTCTAACCATTATGTTTCTGTGCAGGATCCGGGTACGGGGAAGATGATTGGAGTGGGTCGTGAGTCACGAGGGCTTTACTATCTCGAGGTGCCTCGTCCTTCAGTGGCATTCTCTCTCACAGAATCTTCACAACTTATCCACAGTCTCCTCGGTCATACAAGTCTTTCAAAGTTGCAGAAGATGGTTCCTCTTTTATCCGGTCTTCAGTCTTTAGATTGTGTGTCATGTCAACAAGGGAAGCATACACGCTCCTCTTTTGCCAGTCGAGTCAATAAACGAGCTGATGCCTCTTTCTCTCTTGTTCATTCAGATATCTGGGGTCCAAGTCGTACCTTGTCTGTTTTAGGTTTTCGGTATTTCGTTACCTTTATTGATGATTTCTCCCGTTGCACTTGGATTTATTTAATGAAAAACCGTTCTGAGTTGTTTTCTATTTTTCAAAAATTTTCTGCTGAAATTCATACTCAATTTGGTGCCTCTATTCATATTTTACGTAGTGATAATGCTAAGGAATATGTTTCTGTGGACTTTTCTAATTTCTTAGCCAAACAGGGTACTTTACACCAAACTACTTGTCCTCACACTCCACAACAAAATGGAGTAGCTGAACGTAAGAATAGACATCTCATTGAGACTGCATGGACTCTTCTTATTCACATGCATGTTCCTCTTCACTTTTGGGCCGATGTAGTCATTGCCTCTTGTTTTCTCATTAACCGTATGCCTTCATCTGTGCTTAATAATGACATTCCTTATAACTTATTGCTTCTAGATGTTCCTCTCTATCCTTTATCCCCACATGTCTTCGGTTGTACCTGTTTTGTTCATGATCTCACCCCTGGTAAGGACAAGTTAACATCTAAAGCCTTTAAATGTATTTTTCTTGGTAATTCTCGTCTTCAAAAGGGTTATTGTTGTTATTCTCCCGATCTTAAGCGTTACTTAGTTTCCGCTGATGTCACTTTTCTTGATCAACAACCCTTTAATTCTATCCCATCTCCGTTGTCACAGGTTGATCATGTTCTTCCTGTCCCTTTTCTTGACTTGTCTTTGCCAGCTGCAGGTGCTTCTATTCCAGATGAGCAACCTATTGCTTCTATACCTGCGGACCGTCCACTTCTCACCTATCAGCGTCGCAAAACTGTGCCTCCTGTCGACTCGACTCTGGCTGACTCATCGCCCACTGCTGTTGATTCTTCCTCTCCGGATCCTTCACCAGAGGCTCTTCCTATTGCTCAAAGAAAAGGTACACGTACTACTCGTAATCCTTATCCTCTTTATACCTTTTTGAGCTATGACCGTCTTTCTTCACCTCATTTCACCTTTGTTTCTAGTCTTTCTTCTGTTTCTATTCCTAAGACCACAGGTGAAGCACTTTCCCATCCAGGGTGTCGCCAAGCGATGCTTGATGAGATGACTGCACTTCATTCCAATGACACTTGGGACCTTGTTTCTCCTCCTCCAGAGAAGTCTATAGTTGGTTGTTGTTGGGTGTTTACTGTGAAAGTTGGACCTGATGGCCATGTTGATCGACTCAAGGCATGCCTAGTTGCAAAGGGTTTTACTCAAATCTTCGGCCTTGATTATAGCGATACATTCTCTCTGGTAGCTAAGATGGCGTCAGTTCGCCTATTTCTTGCTCTTGCTACTGTTCGTCATTGACCACTCCTTCAACTTGACATCAAAAATGTTTTTCTTCATGGTGATTTACATGAAGAAGTCTACATGGAGCAACTACCTGGTTTTGTTGCTCAGGGGGAGTCTAGGAAGGTGTGTCGTCTTCGAAAATCCTTATATGGTCTCAAGTAGTCTCCTCGCGCATGGTTCAGTCGCTTCAGTTCTGCAGTTCAGGAGTTTGGCTTAATCCGCAGTAAAGTTGACCATTCTGTATTTTATAGGATCACATCTCCTGAGTATCGTGCAATGGCAAATACTACCTGTGAGTTAATCTGGTTAAAGCAGTTGATTCAAGAGCTTCATCTTTGTGAACAGAAACAACCCATGACACTCATTTGTGATAATCAAGCTGCGCTACATATATCCTCTAATCCTGTATTTCATGAGAGAACCAAACATATAGAGATTGATTGTCACTTCATTCGAGGAAAGATTCAGTCAGGAGAAATCAAGACAGCTTTTGTCAACTCTTCTGATCAACTAGCGGATGTCTTCACTAAAGCTCTTAGAGGTCCTCGGGTTGAATACATTTGTAGCAAGCTTGGTGCTCACAATATATACGTACCAGCTTGAGGGGGAGTGTTAGAATATATTAGATATGATTAGATATGATTAGATTACTTCCTATCTGTAATTATTCTGATTGTATTAGGTCTGGGCCTTTCACTTAAGCCCATTAGGGTCTCTATATATTGTAACTCTCTGAATTAGATCAATACACAACATTATTATTTCATATTCAAGTCTTACAATTATGAAAGCACAAGAAATACAAAAGTCTATTATTTAGATTAGCATTTCAAATATCTTTTTTTTTTTTTTTTAATGTGGTCATTAGTTGAAGGGAGAAAAAAAAGTCTAATGAGTTTTGCCTCCTAGTAATTAAAGGAGAGCTGCTTCTGGCTGATAAAACTTTATGCCTTTTGTCTTCTTTGTTGCAGCATTCAAGCTGATATCATGGTATATGTTGAATTGGCTGAGCCTGTGGAAATAAATAATTACAAGAATCATGTTGTTATATAATCTGAATTATGAGAATGGAAATGAAACAAAGAAAAATAGGTACTTGTTAGGTAAATGATTGATTATGAGGATGTTTAATTCTGTCATAGTATGAGCACAAGCACTTGTTCAAGCTAAAGCCAAGTTTAATTCTTTTTCCCGAGAGGGTATGATATGATAATCTCAAGCTAAGATTTTATTCTGATATAATCCTTCCACTCTACAAGTCTTAGAGATTCATGGATTTTGTACATACATAGATGTGTTTGGTTTTGGTGGTTGAACTGTTGAACTCCCAAAGTTGCTTGCACAGTTGCATCTATCCCCACAATGATATATATGCAACAAAGTGCATATGATCTCTATACATGTCTTAGATTTGTTAAGGAGCTCTTTATTTGATAAGTGGTATCGTACTATTACTACAGTAGTATGTTATATTCATAAGTACTACATACTTCACTCATACAAAACAACATCTCAGATTATCCTAGCATTCATTTCTTCTGTGTTTGACTTTTCGATTCTGGGTTTTTGACCAGAGTGAATAAAATCTATCTATCTTTTTTGGAGATATTTTATAGATATTATAACAAAGACCAACTTGATTCTACTTAATAAGATAGTTTATGTCAGAATATTTAAGAAATGTCTCAGAATATCATTATTGTATCTTAGATGATCTCTTAGTATTGCTTTGCATATCTCTTAATATTTCATGATTTGTTTCTTTATTTTAATAAGATAAGGAGTATAGTGTTATTATAAATAGGGGTGATTGCTTGTCATTTTTATCACATCGTGTCATTTCAAAATACATAAGAGAATATTATTCGGTCTCTTTTATCCCTTTTTTTCCCCTTCCCTATCTAAATTCGTATAATTTCAACAGTTTAAATCAGCTCTAAAAATACTTACTGGAGGTTGAAAAGTAAAACTTGTAGGTAGGGTACTCGAAGTACTATATGCCTCGCTTCCCTTTATGTCACTTTCATTTATGGATGCCTCTGCAATGGACTGGAAAAACCATGGAATCGGAGGTATACCTACGTCAACAAGTCCTTCCAAAATTTGGACCACTTGTGTCATGTTTGGCCTGTCTTTCTCATCATCTTGAATGCACCAACAAGCAACCTTGCATGCTCTACATAGCTCTTCCATATTGAGTTCACCTTCTAATTTGGAATCTACCAAAGGCAGAAGATCCACCCCATTGTTCAATGCATTCAAAATCATTGCTGGAAAATAGCTGTTTAGCTCATCATTTAATAGATCCATGTTCCTTCTACCTGAAATGATCTCAAAAAGAACCTGCCCATAGCTGTATACATCAACTTTTGCAGTGACAGCTCCACCAGAAAACCATTCTGGAGCAAGATAGCCTCTGGTTCCTCTCATAGTAGTCAGAACCCGGCTGAAGTTCCGGCCAGGAAGTTTTGCCAGGCCAAAATCAGCTACTTGTGGATTATACTCAGCATCTAACAAAATGTTCTCTGGCTTGATGTCACAATGTATGATGCAGTCTCTACATTCTTCGTGTATGTAAGCTAAACCTTTTGCAGTACCAACAGCAATCCTGTATCTTGTTTCCCAATCTAATATATTAGAACCCTTTTGGAACAGATGAGATTCTAAAGAACCATTTGGCATGTAATCATAGATTATGAATCTTTTTGAATCTTCTAAACAAAAGCCAAGTAGGCGAACAAGAAATTTGTGTTGGATCAATCCCAGTGTGTTCAGTTCAGCTCTAAGTTGTTTTTCTTCTCGTAATTGATCTTGAAGTTTCTTGACTGCTATAAAAGTTGAATCGGGGAATTCACCTTTGTAAACAGTGCTAAAACCACCCTTTCCAATTTTCTGTGTGAAGTTTTTAGTTGCCCTTCGCAGATCCCTGAGCTTGTATTGTGTCAATGTATCTCCTTCTGTTGTCTTAAATGAAGGGCTGGAGTCTTTCCTCTTTGCAATTCTCAGCAGAACAGTAATGCCAACAAACAGAAGAGCAAGCCACGCTGATGTTACTATAATAATCCGAGTAGCTTTCTTCTTCCCACTTTCCTTGGCCTTTATTTTCTTATCGTCCTTATTTCCACTGGGGCTAACAATCCAAGTAGCATTCTTCTTTCCGCTATGAGACTCACATGTTTGTTCTTGCGTATTAATGGCTTGCCATGTTTCCAAATAACTCCACCATACAAATAGTTTGAGCTGTCCAGATACATCCAGCACATATCTAGCCAAACAGGATGCGGGGTATGAGTCATATGGTGGATAGTATGGGTTATATGTCATCGCAACATAATTGTCTGAGTAGTCATTTGAAAAGCATGCGTATGCAAGTTCGCCTTTAAGGTCAACATTATCATAAATCGTTTCTGCCCAGTTGCAGAATTTAGACTCGGAACCATTCTTTAACATTAGTTGAAGCCCATGGATGGGTTACTTGTATCTTTCCAAGAATTTAGTATTGTTTTTATGCCAGTATCTTTATCATATCCAAACTTTGCACCAGGCAGCCAAGTATCTGTTGGATAGTCAAAGCTCTGCCATATCTTTCTCTCTTCCTTAGCCAAAAAGGGTTTTGATCTTTCTCTTATTATGAAGTTTCCATCGTCACCAAGGGTACCGACAGTTGAATTTGATGGAGGAGCACTTGAGTTTGAATTTGTTGACCAAACTGTAAGACCGGATGAGGTGAGCAGGACTAGATGGCCATCTTGACTAAGTTCTAACCATGAAGAATATGGATCAGATACAGGAGAGTCCCTATTGGCTACCCATACCACTGTTTTTTGTGGCATGGGAAGTCCTTTATACCATATCCCTATATAATAGTCATGAGAGTTACCTGGTGGTGCAAAGAAACCCATTTCAAATACTTCACCTTGTGATGTTAGAGTGTGGATCCCTGATAGAGTCTCCCCCGGGATGATGCTATCAGATTCAATGGATAACTGAAACTTGAATGACATAAAAAAGAGCAGAATAAGAAGATGCTCAAGCTGGATCAGCCACGACTCCATTTTTCTGACGTTATTCTGAATTAGATTTCTTTAGTTTTTACGAATGAAGTTTAACGCGCATTGTGACCTATAAGGGTATTGACTGTTGACCTTGTTTTGTACTAATACTGTTAATAAACAATGTTCATTTAGCTCTTTCATTTAGCATAGAATAAGAAAAACAAAAACAACAAAGCTCAGAAGAAAACAAATTACAGAATAAGAAAAGTCTTTTGAAATTGGTATAAAAAATTGTATTGCCCCGACTTTTGTTTTGAGTATTCTTCCTTCAGACAACTCATTGGACAAAATTTCACCGACATTTTTCAAATTTATCCTTTAAATTGAAGAATTTGTTATGACGTGCAAAAGCAAAACAAAAACTTTCTGGTAAGCATGCTAAGTTGCACTCACTATAATTCTCCCGTACAGAAGATTCTGGGTTCAGTGAACAGTGTATTTGATGGAGCTTGCAAGAGAATGTCACACAAATACCCTGCCAGGGAGCGAAACTCTATAATCACTGTTCTTCACTTTTTCCTTGTTTTGAACAATACAGATTACACTTTTTTACAGTTATATCAGGTAATACTTATGTGTCTCCACTCGTGGCTGTTGAAAGTGGTTTATGAAAAGGCTTTTTTTTTTTTTTTTTTTTATTTTTATTTTTTGCGTGCTTCAGTGGATAAGACATGGTGATACCTGAGAATTTGACATATAGTGGCCAAGGTATAGAGGGTTGCTTGGTTCCCGCCATTAGTGTGGAACACAATCAATCTTCTATGTTAGAGTTCATTACTTGAGCAACATGGCTTCTTAACTGTCACCGTTGGTATTTAAACCGTCATAATATCTTCAGTTGCTTCATTCTTCGGCAGTGATAATCACGTGCCCATGTTGGAGCACTTGTCTATTTTTCCTTTTGCAAGGTTATTGATAACATGAAATTGTCAGTACCGAGTAAATAAAAAGGTTTACATACAAGTAAAGGGCAATGAACACTCTTTAAACACTCTATTGATAATCACGTGCTTCATTCTTCGTGCTAGCTTAATTTCTTGACTACTGTGTTTCTCTTTGGTATTGTTTTTTTGACATGTTATTGTCTTGATTAATCTATTACAAATTAATTCTTTTCTTTAAACACTCTTTAATTAATTACAATTAGCCAACCCTTAATTAATTTTATTATGGCATTTACATACTACACTAAATTGTATCTCTGCTTATTGAGCATAATTGAAATTTATAAAATTTGATATTGCCAAAAGACATAAATGGTTGTTCAGAAAGATGTCTAGTTATGCAGAGTCCAAAATCCCTCAAACTATTAAAACATATTTTCTTTCTTTGTTTTTGTTGAGATATATAGTCCCACATAATGTGAAGTTTATAAGGCATTGGGCACTCCCACCCTTTGAGCTAGCTTTTGGGGTGGTGTATCCCAAGGTTCTTTACATGGTATCAGAGCCTTGTGTCCTGGGTTCAAGCCTCGCCGCCCGCCACTTTCTCTTGTGGCGTTTCTTAGCACAGGTAGGCTGGGCCTGTTGCATTATCCACTCTTCAAGCTCAATGAGCTCTCGTGTGAGGGGGCGTGTTGAGATATATAGTCCCACATTAGTTGCAAGGTTCTGATACCATGTAAAGAACCTTGGGATACACCACCCCAAAAGCTAGCTCAAAGGGTGGGAGTGCTCAATGCCTTATAAACTTCACATTAGTTGCTCATACAACCAATGTGGGACTATATATCTCAACACGCCCCCTCACACAAGAGCCCATTGGGCTTGAAGAGTGGATGATGCAACAGGCCTAGCCTACCTGTGCTAAGAAATTCCACAAGAGAAAGTGGGGGGTGGCGAGGCTTTGATACCATGTAAGGAACCTTGGGATACACCACCCCAAAAGCTAGCTTTTGGGGTGGTGTATCCCAAGGTTCTTTACATGGTATCAGAGCCTTGTGTCCCGGGTTCAAGCCTCGCCGTCCCCCACTTTCTTTTGTGGCGTTTCTTAGCACAGGTAGGTTGGGCTTGTTGCATTGTCCACTTTTCAAGCCCAATGGGCTCTTGTGTGAGGGGGCGTGTTGAGATATATAGTTCCACATTGGTTGTATGTGCAATTAATATGGAGTTTATAAGGCCTTGGACACTCCCACCCTTTGAGCTAGCTTTTGGGGTGGTGTATCTCAAGGTTCTTTACAGTTTTCTTATAAGGTATTTATTTTTATACTTTTCATTTGGGTTCATTTGTAATTTGGTATAAATGTGTTCTTGATGTTGATGTGTTATAAGGTATTTAATTTACAATAGATGATATAGTTACCGCAATGGAATGTAGTAGAATCTTACATTACTTGATCATCTAACCTACGCAAAGCACGGGAGTTTAACTAGTTAGAATTCAAAACTTTAAACATTTTTTTTCTGCAGTTCTATAATAGAAAATCTGTCATGAGTGTATCATGTCTAGAACATGAGGTTTCATAAACAATTCTCAAGCACCAAAGTAGCTGTCGAGGATGTAATCAACATTGCAGAGTTGGTTGCTTTATTGCGAGTACTCTATTTTGATTGTTTTTTGGTGCAGCTTATCAGAGTATAGTCTGTTCTGTTGGATAGTATGGTTTGTTATCAATGGTGATGTGGCATGTCATAAAGTTAGTTCAATTCTGTTGTATCTGTTACGTGCGCTTGTAACTGATTATCTAATTGATAGCTGTGGGCTTGTTGGTTAAGCATTGTACTCATTCTCTAGATATATCAGGTCTGAAGTTTAGATCTGATAGACATAACAAAGTTACAATTCTGAAGTTTTCATTTTTTCTCTCAGATTCTCTTCCATTTTTTTTAGCTGTTCTTCAAATCTTTTACAGCTAAACCTTAGGTTCAAGAAAGAAGTCAATAGGTGAAAGTTAAGCTTAACTTGTAAAGCTTTTTCCGCGCAAACAATTTAAGTGATTTGGTTCCACTCCAGTGCTAGTCTTTCCTATCTTCCCTGCAGAAATAATAAAGAAGACTAATTGAGTACTGAAGAGTGAATTACATTTAATTTTTTGAAGTTAAAAGACATAAAATGTTATTATGTAAATAAGTAAAGAATTAATGAGGGATTTAAATGACTTACATAATTTGTTTTGTGTGTCACCAATAAAGAGAACTCTTGGATCTATCACCTTAATCCTAATTTATCTGTTCTGACCTCCATCCTACTCTATCATTCTATTACTAATTGCCCGAATCAGTCAAATTCTTTGTAATTGTAACCGGAGTTGCCATCATAAAACCCTTACATGATTTCCTTGATTCAAATGGACACTAAATTTATTAAATATCCTGTCAGCATTTTATCTGTCATAGATAAAGCCTGAAGGGATTACAATGAAATCTAATGAGATTTGGTTTCTTAGTAATTAAAGGCTAGCTGCTTCCAGATGATTTCCTCCATGCTTCTGGAAAAAGTAATTGCTTTTGCTTTTGCTAACTTTTGTAGTAGCATACTCATAGACATCATGCAACATGTTGAATTGTCTGAACCTGTTAAAATGAGAATGAAAATGAAAACAAAGGAAAATAGGTACTTGATGGCTTAAGCCTACGGGATTGATTATGAAATGTCAAAACTCGGTCAAGTAATGAGCATAGGCACTTGTTCAAGAAATTCACATGAAACCTGTGGGTTTTTGTTTGGAATGCTAAATTCTTAAGGGGAATGAATCTGCAGGGTGAAAAAGGAGGAATATAATACTTAGTTGTTTGTTTACTTTTTCCTGTTTGATGGACGAAAAATTGATTGGGATAGTATATGGTGTACCTTAGTCCCAATAGGAGCCTCCAATCTCACGCAGAGAGAGAAGGAGACAGAGAGACATGCCATTGTGTCTGGAGAAAAAATAAAATCTGTTTTGGATTGACTATTGCATTTTTATGATTTTAGAGGTGTTACCTCAATGATATTGCCCTATTAATCGTAAGCTTTATGCTTATTTGTGATGGATATTAGGAGAACAAAAATTGGAGCAGCACTTGAGACCAAATGGAGCCAGGCATGCTGGAAAGAAAGGAATGGCCATGAACAAAGTCAGAAATATTATGCAGGTAAAAAGAAGGAAAAACCAATCCATTTTGAATGTGGGGATGGGTATGATAAGCTCAAACTAAGATGTTTTTCTGATATAATCCCTCCACACCACAAAACTGTGTCTGGATTTTGATGGTTGAACTGTTGAATTCTTACAGTTGCTTGCACAGATATACAATTGAGCGCCAAAGAATAGTTGGCCAAAGAACTAGATCTATGTACGAGTCTTTGATTGGTAAAGGCACTCTTTAGTAGAAAAGAGGTTTCCTACAATTACTGCAGTGGTATGTTATATCATAAGTATTACATACGTCACATATTCAAATTAACATTTTAAATTTTCAAACAACTTTATAGGAAGGCATATCTTAGCATTCAGCTCTCCTTTGTTTTACTTTCTGATCATTAGTTGAAGTGCGTAAGTAGAAGTTTAATGATTTTGGCTTCCTTGTAATTAAAGACTAGCTGACTCTAAAAAGGGCAAATCTCGGTGCGCAGGACTCTCTGGCATGCAAGTGCAGGGGTGAGATTCAATTGTACGCAGGTTTACTTTTGTATTTTTACAAAGAGGTTGTTTCCTGAACTCGAACCAGAGACCTTCCAGTCACAAGGAGCAATCTTACTACTGCTCCAAGGCTCACCCTCAAAGACTAGCTAGCTCTACTTAATATTCAAATTTCAGTGTAGAAAAACTTACGAGGTTGACAGGTGAAACATGTAGGTAGTGTAGTCGATTTACTCTAAGCCTGACTGCTCCTTGATATTAGTTTCATTCATTCAAGCTTCTGCAATGGACTGGAAAAACCGTGGAATTGGAGGAATACCTAGATCAAGAATTCCTTCTAGAATTTGAACTACCTGACTCATGGTTGGTCTATCTTTTTCAAGATCTTGAATGCACCAACAAGCTACCTTGCATGCTCTAGTCAGCTCTTCAACATTGAGTTCACCTTCTAATTTGGAATCTACCAAAGTCAGAAGTTCTGCCCCATTGTTCAATGCATTCAAAACCATTGCTGGAAAATAGCTGTTTAGGTCATTATTTAATAGATCCATGTTCCTTCTACCTGAAATGATCTCAAAAAGAACCTGGCCATAGCTGTACACATCAACTTTTGCAGTGACAGCTCCACCAGAAAACCACTCTGGTGCAAGATAGCCTCTAGTTCCTCTTATGGTAGTCAGAACCCGGCTGAAGTTCCGGCCAAGAAGCTTTGCCAGGCCAAAATCAGCTACTTTTGGATTATACTCAGCATCTAACAAAATGTTCTCTGGCTTGATGTCACAATGTATGATGCAGTCTCTACATTCTTCGTGTATGTAGGCTAAACCTTTGGCAGTACCAACAGCAATCCTATATCTTGTTTCCCAGTCTAATATATTAGAGCCCTCTTGGAATAGATGAGATTCTAAAGAACCGTTTGGCATACAGTCATAGACTATGAATCTGTTTGAATCTTCTAAACAAAAGCCAAGTAGGCGAACAAGATTTTTGTGTTGGATCAATCCCAGTGTGTTCAGTTCAGCTCTAAGCTGTTTTTCTTCTCGCAATTGACCTTGAAGTGCCTTGACTGCTATAAAAGTTGAATCGGGGAATTCACCTTTGTAAACAATGCTAAAACCACCCTTCCCAATTTTCTGTGTGAAGTTTCTAGTTGCCTTTCGCAAATCTCTGAGCTTGTATTGGGTCAATGTATCTCCTCCCCTTGCCTCAAATGAAGTGTCAGAGTCTTTCCTCTGCACAATTCTCAGCAGAACAATAATGCCAACAAACAGAAGAGCAAGCCATGCTAATGTTACTATAACAATCCAAGTAGCATTCTTCTTTCCACTTTCCTTGTCCTTTATTCTTTTATTCACCTTATTTCCACTGTGACAGTTAAATGTTTGTGGTTGCATGTCAATGGAATGCCATGTTTCCATATAACTCCACCATACAAATAGATTGATCTGTCCAGATACATCCAGCACATATCTAGCGAGACAAGATGATGGGTATGAGGAATATGTCATCAAAACATAACTATCTAAATAGTGTTTTGAAAAGCATCCATAGGCAAGTTGAAAATCAATATTAACATCAACATCACCTGACCGGAAATTAGACTCATATATACAGAATACATGCTCCTCAGAACCATTCTTCAACGACATTTGAACCTCTGACAAATAAGGATGAACTTCAATTAACTCAAGAGATAAAAGGCCCGTTGATGGGCTGCTTGTATCTTGCCAAGAATTTAGTATTGTTTTTTGGCCGGTCTCATTATCATATCCAAACTTCGCACCAGGAAGCCAAGTATCTGTTGGATGGTCAAAGCTCTGCCATATCTTTCTCTCTTCCTTGGCCAAAAAGGGATTTGATCTTTCTCTTATTATGAAGTTTCCATCGTCACCAAGGGTACCAACAGTTGAATTTGATGGAGGAGCACTTGAGTTTGAATTTGTTGACCATACTGCAAGACCAGAAGAGTTGTGTACCACTAGATGACCATCTTCACCAAGTTCTAACCATGAAGAGTATGGATCAGATACAGGAGAGTCCCTGTTGGCTACCCATACCACTGTTTTTTGTGGCATGGGAAGTCCTTTGTACCATATCCCTATGTAATAGTCATGAGAGTTACCTGGTGGTGCAAAGAAACCCATTTCAAATACTTGACCTTGTGATGTTAGAGTGTTGATCCCTGATAGAGTCTGCCCCGGGATGATGCTATCAGATTCAATGGATGGCTGTAACTGGAATGACATGAAAAAGAGAAAAATAAGATGATTGAAATGGAACGGCCGTGGCTCCATTTTTGGAAAGGCGTTCTGAATGAGATTTCTTTAGTTTTCCTTTTTTAATGATCAAAATGGTTTTTTGCGTTTACCCTTTACTGAATAAAAATGAAATATAACATCCATTAAAGTTGTTGACTTCTTTGTGTTTTTTACTTATACAACTGTTCAATGAACAATGTTCATTTGACATATAGAATGCAACGAGTTGAGTCATATCATTGACTTGTTGTGCCTAGACAATAAATAAAAGAATAGTTCAATCTGTCTAGATAGATAGACAGTGACTTCTTTCATTATTAAAATAGGTTAAAAAAAGGGAAAATGCTTGTTATCACGAAACTAGCATTTAATTCAACATCATTTGTATAAATAAAATTATACAACGAGTTACGTTACATCTATGACTTTGACTTTGTGTTTTTCATATGAATTCTGCTAATTTTCACTCGTATTGTAAATTTATTAGTATTTAATTCAATTCGAGAACGTGGGGTCCATATTAGAAGAGATTTTTCAGCATTATTTTCTTTATTTCCATTATTTAAGAGAAATAAATTACTTGCCACTTGAGGAAATGGTTATTAATAAATTAGTATAAATTCTGCGAGTTACTAATTTGACAGAGTAAAAAACAAAAAAGAATATAAGTAAACAAAACTTGGGAGAGGATATTCTCCCTTCTAGCTTGGCACATTGTGATTAAAAACACTGCTAACACACTAGAACCGCCGCTCCATACTCCATAGCCCATAGGGATAGACATGAGTTGATTCGAACCAAATTTTTTGTTTAACCGAACTCAACTGGTTTAAACCAGTTTTTTTTTTTTTTTTTTAAATCGAACCGATTCGGTTTGGTTCAAAAATAATTCGAACTGGCTCGACCTAAATTGATTATTATTGGTTTCAAACTAGAACCAGTTCTGAACTGATTTTGACCATTTTCGAATCGGTTCGATTTAAAAAAAATTTAGTTCAAAGAACCGAACTTGTTTGTTTACTCAAATTCATTGTTGTCTCCAAGCATCATGACTATTGTAAAACATACAAGTCTTGTTTAGCATACAAATATGTTTAATACAACACTTGGAGAGATTTAACCATTAATATTATCAAAACATTCTCTTGTAGTGTTGTCTAAGTTGTTTTCTTAGGTGCTAAACTAACGGAGGGAGCCGAGTCGAGTGTATAGACTGGACATGACCCTTAGGAGGCTTGGTTTGCTCTTATGCTCCCATTGCTTTGTGTCTGAGCTAAAGATGGGTGGAACTTTTAGTTTGATTCGAAGCTCCAATAGGAGAATGTGAATCGGAATTTACAAATTCCCTCAGACGGCGCCAATGAACCGTTGGCTTATTAGAAAGCCCAATATGTGACACCATAGGGGGTGATATGGTTACTATAGGGTGTACCCAATGCAGCAATGGTGAAGACCAACACTCCATAGGGCAGTCACAATACAACAAATATATAATGGGGGAAGGGGGACATGCAAAGACTATGCTGGCTTTCTATCTTGATAGAGTGACGGCTCATAAAAATCTCTCCTCTGGTGTGGTGAGGAGGGGGTATATATAGGTCTCCACTTGGTGGGGGATGTGCCAAGTCAACTATTGTGGGGAGGAGGGATAATAGGGCCTCTTGCAGTTGCTGCTATGCACGGATAAAGTCAAGGGAAAGAGATATTAGATGCTTATGGAGATACAAATGGAAGAGGGAGTCTCCCAACGTAAGACATTTTGATGTCTTACGTTGGGAAACTGGTTAGCTTTGCAGGTTTTATCGTGGTACCAACAGGGAGGTGGATTTATAGCTAAAGTGGCTTGGGCTTTCAGGACTGGACCTGCCCTATTAGGCTGATGCTTTTGGCCGGCCAGAATAGAAAGTATTAGAATGATTATGGCATCCAAAAAAGCCATCCAATCTCTGAAAACATGTGCTTCCCGAGAAGTGCAGAGTATGCATGGAAACGTTTGATGTAAGAACCCGCACCGTTAATTAAGGAAGTTAATTAATTAATTATGAGAAATTAGGAAATGATTCCATAGTTGATCCTAATAATTATGAGAATGCTTAAATAATTATGATAAGTGATTAATAATGCTGAAAGTCGCTTTTCTGACGAAAAGTGCAGATACTGGTTCTGCTACTCGATATAAGTGCGTACCGATGAAGTATCCCGAAAAATTATAATAAGTACATGAATATTCCTAGAATAATATGTAGGAATGTGATTTCAAGTTTCAAGTTAAAATAATGAGAACTGGTGCCAGAACTAATACTGGCTATGGAAAAGCGCGTACCGGAAAGGTGCTGCGAAAAAATAAATAAAAATATGATAAATCCTGGAAAAATGAGTAGGATCAGATTCCAAAGTTTGAGATTAAAATGTTAAGCGTAGCTATTATTGTTAATACTGTGCGATTAATCTTAAGTGGGCTATAAATAACCACTTGCACTAAAACCTAGGTCAGATTTTGATGTGTCTACGTAGAGGTTTCTGATGCATTTGGAGCTCCACCCTTCATTGCACTATTCCATTGTTTTTCTCTCTTGAAACCAACCAAGTCTTAGCCTTTTCTCTTGATTCTTCCTCTTCCATCTTGTGTGCACTTGAGAGTATACATTGTGAGGGAGAAATACACCTTCTTGCTAAGTTTAGCTTCTGAGTTGTGGTGTTTGGGGCTAAGTTTGTGAACTACCTTGATGGAGGCCTTGTTCATGTCTTTGGTGGTGCCAAGAAGTGATCTTTTGGGTTAAAGGACCAAGCTTGGTGGTCAAATTCGTGTCTTTTCATAGTCATAACCTTGGTGTGTAGTTGGAGACTTCTATTCTGCCTTATTTTCTAAGTTTTCAGCATTGCAGGTGAGCCATGATCACCTCTTTGTCATTTTGATGATTTAAGCTTGTTTAATCGGTTAAAAAGTAAAACTTGGATCATTTAATTAAAGGAATGTGTTTCTGAGTTCTTAACATGCTTATGAACATCTGTTTAGGGAGTCATTGGACTCCCAATCGCTTTTGGACCCTTAAAATTGCATTATGCAGAAGTCAGTTCGAATTTCTGCATTTTGTGGGAGAAGTATTCGAATACTTTTCGTGTAGTATTCGAATACTTATCCCTTGTAGTCGAATACTCCTTGCTGGATTGTTGGAATACCTTTCTTTTTCTGGGAAGAAAAGTATTCGGATACCTTTGAAGAAGTATTCGAATACTGGAGAGTATTCGAATACAATGAGTTTTGGTGTTTGAATACTGTGGTATTCGGATACTTGGGGTGTTGGGATTCGAATACCTTGTGGTATTCGAATACTTTAGTGAAAGTAATCGAATACTTTCTGGAGAGCTGGAGTATTCGAATACTCATCAAGGAGTATTTGAATACCTCCTGCAGAAACATCATGAACTGAATTAAAACGAGTAAGAAAGCCTTAAACATTTAATGTAATCTTGAGCAATGATTATTGATAATTAATTATTGTTAAAACAGATTGTGATTGTGCTGTTTGTGGGCCTTGAGCTTGTGTGGACTCTTGGCTAGGATTGTTAGCTTGCAAGGTAAGCTTTCGTGTTCTCGGTTTAGCCATTGTGTGGTTCCACCATACCCCATGGGGGAATGGTTTATATGCATGCTGTGTTTACATGCTTTGATAATTGAAAATGTTGTTGAGCTTTATGTGCAAGGACTTTTAATATGTATGTGTTGTTCCACTTAGACGGTTAGCCTGAGTATGTGGCGTCATACAAGACAGTGACACTGTGGGTGGGTGCAAGTGGCGTCTTGCATTAGTGTGGGTAATAGACGTATTCCTGCATCTCTCTGGCCAGTAGATTAGTTATAACACACATGACATGATTATCTGCTGCATTGCACTATTTTGGAACTTATATTGCACATGTAAGTGAGCTTGGGGAAGATCCTTGAGGACCCCTTGTCTTACTGAGATTTCTGTTTAGAGATCTCACCCCACGTTTGGGGCGCTTATTTCAGGTTCAGGTAACCCAGGGGTTGAGACCTCTAGCGGCAGGAGGCCGGAGCTTAGTTAATTGATGTTTATCTGCTTATGCTAACTATGCTTGGATGCTGGTTTATGTTTGTTGATATCATGCTTATAGCTTCATTTGATGTTATTGTTGAGACTCTGTTGGTTATGCTGCTATTTGATGAGCATGGGGATTGTCCATGCCACTTTGACTTGACTTTTTGATTTTTAGTTTTGAGTAGTATTAATGTATCAGGATATTATCTGGACTACGTGTTGTAGATCTGTGACTTAGATACTCACTTATTTATCTATTGAGGTATTTCAGTTAGCTGTCTTTTGTAATTTACATACAGGCGATGTTTTTATGAAATTGATTAAGTAATCAACTTGGCTAAGTTTAATGACGTCATAATTGAAAAGAAAAAGATATTCCACATTTTTAATTAAGCATGGCTTAATACGATGACATGGTAACAAACTGGGTATACACGGGGTGTTACATTTTATGGTATCAGAGCACTTTCTAGGGAAAAAGCCTGTATATCAGTGTTATAAAAACCGGACCGGTCCGGCCGGTCCGACCGACCCATCAACCGGTCCGGTTACATCATTAGACCGCTTAAGTAGTTGACCCGTTATTGACCCAGTGACTCGGAAATAAACTCCGGTTCAACCGGTAAACCGGTACCGATTTTCTATTTGAACCGGTTTTTTAAAATTGGTTCCAAAATATTTTTTTGCAGCAGGTGGGATTTGAACCCTGCTCATTAGTGTGAGGAGCACCTTCTTATACCACTGAGCCACTATTACTGGTTGAGTAATATACACCATTTAATATATTTATTATATAACTATTAAGTTAAGAGAATTATTTCAAAAATCACATCTAATGGGGTTTGAACCCCTTCCATTGAGGTTGTGCAACATAGCAAATACCATTAAACTACACCAGGTTATTATTTAGATAGCACCATTTAAAATATTTATTATATAATTAAGTATAAAATATAAATTTATATATATATATCA